ATCACCTGTTCACCATCACTCAGTTCTTTAACTAGAAATCGTTCTTGTAACAATTATTACAACTTTAGAACTTCAGTTCATAGAGCTACCTGAAACAAAATATCCTGTAGTGGTTAAATAAGGATTGAGTACGTAAAACGTTTGTCTTTAAATGCACGTCTGTAAGAGTCTTGCATCTGATAAACAAGTCTAGACTGTGACTTAACTTTGGACATAAGACAAACTCAGCTATTCATCAGTTTCAGACCCTCTCCTGAATTTTTCTGTTTTAGGGTCTTGATAAAGCAAATATGTTTCCTCTCATACAACGATGCTGCTTCCACACACCTTTCAAAGTAAGTTTCTGAAGCCGTCTTTGCTGTCTGTATTTCTTTAAAAGTAAAATAGCAAAAGGTATGAGTGGGGCATTGGGGGGGGGAAGGTGACTTACAAGTTTGAGTAGCCACATGTTTGTTACTCAGCTTTTCTGAGAGAATTCCTAGTTTCTACAGCAGCTTTTAGCCAAAGCTAAGATACTTCTTTTATAAAACAAATGTTACCGTCTAAAGGTCTTTTTTCCTCTCTTTGGTAGAGTGGTGAGGGGATAGTCGCTAGTTTCTGGGGTGACCTCGTCCTACTTCCGTCATAATTTTGTATTCTACTCTGAAAAGGACTGATACATCTTAACTTAAAACTGCCTGAAGAATGCATGTGTGGGTGGAAGGATGGAAGGTGGACATACAAACCTTTGAGTGTGAAGTAAGAAAGTGAGTTAAAGAGTAAAAGAGTTACTCACTCTGAGAGTGAGTAAGCAAAAGTAAGCAAAGCTTACTCACTATGAAGAGAGCCTAGTTGCTCTTCATCAACTAGCTTGTGAAAGCTGTGTCAGTTAGCTTAATGAGTTAAATTAAAAGCACCTGAAAACCGAGGAAGGGCAGCTGTCACGTGACCTGCCTTGGAAAAGTACTTGGTACAGTATTTCATAGGTAGTTTAGGTAACTGTAGATCTGTAAGCCTACACGGTAAGGTGTTCAGAATAAGTTTTATAATTGCAGCTCCAGAAGTTAATTGGTCCCAGACTACTACTGTATGGAAAGAATAAGACAACTTGCTCTTCTCTCGGCCTCCGTCTGCAGAGAGACGTATGTCTTCTCTCAAGATCTCCAAGCCTCAACCCAGCGTCAGTATATGCAGCCAAGCTCCAGGCTTTTCACACCTCTCTCCCCTTCTTCAAGAAGAAAACCCCCAAGGAATCTGAGAGGAAAGACTCGGGCATATTGCAACAAAGCATGAAATCACTAAAGGATTCTCCAAAGCCAGCCCTTTACTTAAGCCTTGCAGGGCTAATTCCATTTGTTTTTGTGCCGCTGTCAATGGCCGTCCAAGGGACCTACTACCCAGAGCTGGCGTTTGCTCAGATTACATATGGTGCCGTAACACTCTCTTTCCTAGGAGGAATGAGGTGGGGGTTTGCTCTCCCGGAAAACAGCCCGGCCAAGCCAGACTGGCTGAACCTGGCTAACAGTACAGTTCCTCCTGTACTTGCCTGGCAAGCCTTACTTTTTAAAGATACCACTCATGGTGCAATAATGCTAGTAATGGCCTTAGGGATAGCACTACATTATGACGTTTCCCTTCTTCCTACTTACCCTAGGTGGTTTAAAGTACTGAGGGTAGCGGGAACAGTGGTGATGGTATTATCGCTATTGGCTACTGCAGCGTTGAAGGCTGTTTCAGAGGAGCAGCTAAGTAACAGCAGAAATAAATGGCAGAACACAAAATAGTACATCAATAGCAAAAAGCTATTTATCTGCCAATAAGGTATGTGTATTGAGTTCCAGGGGAAATAAAGACGACTTAGTGCTTTTAAGTCATAAGATGGCAGTGATCAAGATGCTTATTCTCAAAGTAAACAACTTAGCAAGTTTAATAGGGAAGGATTGTAAATACCGTTGACTTCCAAGGCAGGCATGACTCTGTCCTTATCTGTAGAAGAAAGTATCACTCTTGAATGAGATGTTACTGTCATATGAATTTAAAATGGAGATTCAAATGACATGGATATGAATTGCTCTATGCTGAATTATTAAAGTATCTGGTTTAACTATAATGCATGACAATGTTCTGTGGTGGGGAGAACAACTGTGTAGTCATAAACAGTAACAAGGTGAGAGCAGCTCTTCTAGTTTAGTGTTTAAAGAAGCAGCAGAGAATTATGTAAAAGTACATACATGTTCAATTCCTATGTTGTGGAAATGCAAAAAAAGATAAAACTCTTCTCTGTCTTACTTCAACTGAGAAGATGCTGAGAATGCTATGATGTGATTAAGTGCTAGTCAGGTAAGAATGGATAGGCAAGGTTTGTTTGCAGTGGCAAAACCAAGGTCAGCACTCACCTAAAACACGTCATCCAGCTGCTGCAATGGAGTGGGAAAAGCTAGAAGGGGAAGCTTTGCATCCTCGACAAGGTGCCATAAGAGACAGAAGGTTAGCTTCCTACTCAGGCTTACTTAAATAAAAAAAGATACCTCGGCCAGCTGTTCCTAGGTTTTGTTTGGACTTAGGGCTGCCTAGCCAAGGAAGCTGCATGCAACATAGCCATAAAGACCTGTCATACTCCTAAATTAAAGTACTATCAAACGATTATATGACACAAGGACTCCATCGCTGGCACTAGGGGATCAGATAATGGGATTGAAAGTAGTTTGTGTCTTCTCCCTCCTTAAAACTCATTTTATTTGAGCACCCAGGGCAGGTACAAATGGACTTGTAGCCTGCAAACCCTCCGTGATGGGCCAATTATTGAAAATACTGCAGGAGCATATGCTCTTTGTACTTAAGTCTTCCTAACACATCATTTAGGGGAAGAAGATACAATGTAAGTCACATAGATTTTTCTTTTCAGCTACCTCAAGAAACCTACAAAATTGTTATGTGCGCATATTCACTGTAGGCTTTTTATCTTAAGTATTCTTTAAGTACAGTAAGATGCAAGAAGAAAGCTGAAAAGGGACATCCACACACATTCTTAGGACTGATTTAGATAATCCTCATAGTTCTCTTAAAGCACTGTTCTTCATTGTTGTACTATACAGAATAAAGCATGTACTGTCACTTAAAATTTTTTCCTTCTGCAAAGAACAGGTGTTTAAGAAACCTGCCTATCCTGAAGATAGAGCCATCTTCTTGTATATTGCCGAAACAGCAACTATGTACATGAGCCTCTAACTTTCGTAACCTGTTAACCTTTACATGTTAACAGCATCATACATCTGAAACGATGATGTATTTCAGTGCTCTCTGAATATAAAGGAAGTAAAATTGTAAATGAAAACAGTTCTTGTATTCTTTCTTACTTAGACATGATGTTTTTTAAGATGGGTCCAGAGAAGAGTACTGCCTTTGGCTTGGTTCAGGGAAAGAGGTGCTGAGTATCAGAGACCATAATCAACCACTTCAAAGTTTGATTCAAACGTGATAGAATCAACCACAAAAACTGGAGGAGGTAACTTCATATAACAGCGGACTCCTGCAAGCTCCACTAAGCAGAAGTTTATGGGTAGGGATCAGAAGTAAACTAGTTCCCAAACTAATAAAATACAGCTAAGGTAATGTTTCTTAAATGGTTCACGAGGGATCCTGAAATGTAGAGAAGAAAGCCTAAGAAATACTACCTATCCTTTGATCCCAGAGAGGGCTGCACAGAGCTGGCAAGGCAGCCAGACTTACAAGAAGTCTGAGTGATTTTACACTGAGAGAAATACACGAGTGTTTTACTATAGAAGTGTTACTTGCACCTTTCAAATAGTCAATGTTTATAACCAATCTTTCCTAGTGTCCTACTGGGAAATAGGGTTTCCAGTAAAAAAACAAAAAAAACAACAAGAAAAAAAAGAAAGTGGCAGCGATACAACTCATTATGATAGGAAAGCAACCTATTCAAAAGCATTCCACGGTCAGTTCTGAAAATGCATTTTATTATGAAAAACTGTTTAAAACAAGCTTAAACTTGGGAAAAAAAAAAGAATAGACATTAGTTCACACACATAAGAAATCCTTTTGAAGTAAAAGCACACACAAGATTATAGAATGGTCAGAGAAACAAATGCTCCATCACCTAACATGTTTTAGCCCGGCAATCTCCCAGCCCTATGTTAGAATGTAAGACCTAGATTCTTAGGGTACCTGCGACACTCACCTTGGAGGCTTTTATTCATGTATTAATTTGTTAATTTTACACAGGGGATATTGATCTAGGCAGTATGAATGCTCCTTTGTCTACACAGTGCAGGCTTCCTGTTTTGTGACATTCCAGTTGTGGTTTTGTGTTCTAGAATAACACTGTCTATCAAAGTTCAAGCAGCCTTACTTCAGACTCCATCCAAATCATCCACAGCTGTGCAGAAAATGCAATCATATTGTGCAAAAAGCAACTTCAAGTACGTTAATTAAATGATTCTAGAAATAACTCTAAACCCCGAGTAGTATTGTTCTACTAAGAGTATCCAAGCTAAATACAAACTCCTTAAGACAAAACACACTAATAGCATCACTTTAATGCTGAATGCAGCTAATTCTATCACAAAACGCTCTGTCTGCTCAGATTTGGAAGAGGCAGGATACAAGATGTAGCAAGGATGAACGTGTGTACCTTGTAGAATAGCGTGTATTCCAATGCCAAGTCTCAGCATGTGTCACGCAGGGTAAAAACACTTTTAACTAAGGGGGGGGGGGGGGGGGGGGGGAAAGAACCATAAATTACTAAAACAACAGGTTAAACGCGCACATCTAC